TTAGAAGGGGAACCTCGGGCTGTGCGACGCAGGCACTTAAATCCCAATGAGAATTTAACTGTTGACCTAACCTTCTCCTCTAGCATTAACACCCACCTACGGGAGTTTTTGCCATTTTTGAAAATCTGATTCATGCTTCCCCACCTCCCCTTGAGGAAAACAGGAGCAAAGTTAGTGCAAGCCTTGTCAACCCATACCAAGATCGATGTAGCACAGTCTTACTTGGTGCTTACTCCCTGGGCTCTCTCCCTTCTGCATTTCCATCCCTTTCTGCTGGGCATTCTCCACCCCACCCCACCCCCATTGTAGGCTCTCAACCCCATCCGAGTTCTGCCCACTGCATCTGAGCGATATGCGCATAGCTCCAAGCCAGTTTTCCCTAACTTCCTCAGACAGCTGAGCTCTGAATTGCAGTTTACTGCTTTATATTACAATGATCTCATTTTCAAGTTAGTTTTTGCATAGTTATTACATTGATACAGTTGAAACTTCAAAATGTTTATGAAGTTAGATGAAGAGTTTCCCGTAACATTCCTGTCTCCCAGTCACCTGGTTAACCCCACCCCCTAAGCAGCCAATGATACCAGTCTCTTTATTCTTGCAGAGATATTTTATGCATTTGTGTGTGTGTGTGTGTGTGTGTGTGTGTACACATATGCTCTTTAGGCTTAGAGCTGGCTCACTGCTCACGCCTCTGGGGCATCCCAGACTGGGCTCCAGCAGAGGAACTTCAGGACACCGAGAGACCCCAAAAGAGGGTTCGGACTATGTTTAACTTGAAGCAGCTGGAAGAGTTGGAGAACGTGTTTACAAAGCAGCACAATCTTGTGGGGAAGAAGAGAGCTCAGCTGGCGGCCCAGCTCAACCTTACAGAGAATCAGGTGGGAGCAGGGACTCCTGTGGGACTAGGGCTATACCTGGGGGCCAACGCTGCTCTCCAGAAGGCCCTGGGTGAGGTTGGGGGGAAGACATGGGCCTTCTTCCTCTGTGCCAGGCCACTGGGGGAGACAAGCCCTAATCACTAACACAATCCCTACATGAATGAGGAAAATAGTCCCATTTGAAACCACATTATGGGAACAACACACATTAATCCAGAAATTAATCTAGAACTTTGTTTGCATGTTAAAAAAGGAGGTGACGATGAAATTATGTTCAAGGGACTAAATTTTTTTTTTTAAGATTTTATTTATTTGACAGAGATAGCAAGAGCAGGAACACAAGCAGGGGGAGTGGGAGAGGGAGAAGCAGGCTTCCTGCTGGGCAGGGAGCCCAATGTGGGGCTCGATCCCAGGACCCCAAGATCATGACCTAAGCCAAAGGCAGACGCTTAATGACTGAGCCACGCAGGCGCCCCTAAATATTAAAAATAATAAACATTCACTTGACCTCCATATTCTCCTCCAGCCACTACACCATTTTTCTGCTCTTTTCATGGGCAGACTTCCCAAGAACTTGTTATAGTCCCTGTCTCCATGTCCTCACTTCCCATCTATGTAACTCATTCCAATATGAATTCTTTCCCTCCCATTCCCTCAGAACTTCTCCTCAGGATCTCTTAATGACCTCCATGTTTGCCAAAGTCAGCAGATGCTTTCCTTTCCTTATCTTACTCCCCACTTAGTACAGTTGACTACTTCTCTTATTGACACGCACTTCTCTTGGCTTCTGGACACTGCATTCTTGGTTTTCCAGCTCTCTGGCCACTTCTTCTCTGTCACCTCTGTTGTAGGGTACTCTGTGACCTCATATTTGTCGTCCACCCCTCCAGCTGATCTCATTTAATCCCATGGTTTTAAATACCATTTATAAGCCAACAACTCCCAGGTTTGTACCTTAGCTCACTCCCTTTTTTTTCCTCCCCTCTCTCACATGTACATCTACCTACTTCTTGAGGTCTCCACTTGGATGTCTTCTGTGTAGGCATTTCACACTTCACGAGTCTAAACCTCAGTTCTTGACTTTTTTTCTCTCTAGATCTGTTCCTTTCCCTACTCACAGCCCCACCATCCGTCCGGTTGCTCAAAATACCAAGTCATCCTAGATTCCTCCTCTCCCACTTCCAATCCATCACCAAGCCTTGTCACTTGTACCTCAAATACAGCTGGGATCGCTTCATTTTTCTCCATTGCCCCTCGTTCATCCCGGTCCCTGCTCTTTTTGGATCATCACAATAGCCTCCCAGCTGTCTCTCTGCATCCCCTTTCATCCATTCTTCACAAAGCAGCCTGGTACGCAATTCACTTGAGGTGCAAACAGTACTATGTCACGTCCCACTTAAGAGCCTCAAAGCTGATACTCCTTACCCATAGCCTCCATGGTCCTGGGTGATCTGGCCCCTGCTGACTTCTACTGTCCCTTTCTTCCCCATCTCACTCTCAGATACCTCAGCCTCTTTTCTGGTCCTCAAACACCCCAAGCTTTCCTACAGGTTGTATCCTGATCCAGCCTGCTTTTCTCTGTCCTCATTAAACTGGTCTCTTACCCTTTGAGCCTCAGCTTAAGTGCTGGTTCCTCAGGGAGGTTCCATGTTTGTTATTTGTCTCTTATTTGTAAGTTCCATGAGGTCAGGGACCATACCTCTATTGCTCACCCCGTATCACCATCACCTAAGGATGGTGCCTAGTACATAATAGGAGCTCAATAAATATTTGGATGAACAAATGGTGTCTGAAATTCTAGGGAAGGGTGTTTTGGAGGAGATGCTTCTTTTAGAAGAAAGAACAAATGTGGGCCCAGAGAGCAGTGGGCACTGTGGAATAGGGGAAACCGTGGGACTGCTGGTCACATTCTAATCTCTGATCATTGCCTCTGATTGTAGGTGAGGGTCTGGTTCCAAAACCGCAGGGTCAAGTATCAGAAGCAGCAAAGGCTGAAGCTGCCAGCTGTGTCTGCCGTGGCTGCCTTCCAGGATGAGCCCTCCAGGAGCTCTGACGACAGCATCCAGAGAGAAGACACTGAGTCAGGAGTGGACAGCTAAGGACCGGAACAGAGGCTCAACCTAGGCTGTCTGAGCTAGTTCTTCTTGGGGGACTCACTGAAACTGAGCCTTTTTTCTTCATCTGTATAATGGGTGCACTGACAACTTCGTCCTCCCAGAGCTGACAGGATGTCTGTAAAGTTGTTACAGTGTGCCAGGCCCAGGCCTAAGTGTTCAGCAAGTGTTAAGGTTTCTAGGACTCACCTAGAGGTGGGTCCTGGGGGTGTGGTGCTTGCACCAGCACTGGCCTCTCCAGGGATTAATCTTTTCCTGGTCTGGCTGTGGAGAAGAGGCCTCCTTGAATCAGTGTCTGGACCTAGAAGCCTCCTCCCCACCAGAGATGGTGAAGTTGAGAGCAAAGGGGGGGAAAGGTAAACCAGTTAGCCTCCTACCCCTCAGAGTTTCCCAAAGTTTTGTTTTGTCTGAACTGTTACCATTTTCAGGAGCTCAGCCCCAGCTGCCTACTTAGGAGCAGACATGCTACCCTGACTACCATGTTTTTCCCTCTAGCTACCCACCTTGACACCTCTCCATCATTACATAAAATAGAGCACTTTGGCTCTGCTTTTGTCAAGGCAGGCATTTTGTCACAGACTCCTGTATTTCCATGAGACAGTTATAATTTCTCCCCCTTCAAGGCCCTAACTCATGGTTCCCTTTCCTTCCCAGGAAGCTGCTCAGTTTCTAAGAAGCCTGCTGATAGCCTACTCCTGTGAGGCCAGTCACCAGCAATTCCAGAGCTGATTTCTTTAATGCTCTACATTCCTGGGCAGGCCTCTGTTGACGGTATTGATAATCTAGAATGGCTTCTGGGTACTGAAGTGAGCTAGTGAAAGAGGCCTGCCCTGCCACCTGGTGGTGGGAAAAGGCACGGTCCCCCCTGCTGTCTGCAGTGTTCTGAGGGAGAGAAGAAAGGCAGGGAGCAGAGGTGGCCTTGGAAAAACCACATGCCTCCAAGTGGTGGTAGACCATCCTCTCCCAGACACTAGGCCACGGGCTTGAGGGAGGTCGGGGTCCAGCTTCAAGAGCCCTTCTCTCTCCCAGTTTTCAGGGAAATCCTTCCTAATGCTGGACCCAAAGTCAACTGTTAATCAAAGGGATCCAGCTGCATCTGCCTCTTCCAGCACCTGCCTCTTCAATTGACTCACTTTTTAAAAATAAAACAGTTAACCTATTCAGTAGTTACTGGGCTCTACCCAATCCCCCGATGTCTCCGTGAGACCATACCAGAAGCAGATACATGTCCTTTTTCAAGTAGCACAAAATCCATTGGAGGGCAAGGAAGCAAGGCATGGTGGTCAGGCTTGGCTGTGGGGACAGATGCTAAAAGTCAGTGGTTTCAGCTATATGGGGTCCTGAATGAACAAGCCCCTCTCCTGTTCCCAGGACAATGTACACATGCACACTCCTGCATACAATTTCAGGGGTCCTCAGACTTGAGGTCCACCGTGTACCTCCTAACACCACCCCTAGGCTGCAAGGTCCCTATGCCCCCGAAGGGTCTGAGAGAAGCACAAGTCCAGCTTGAAGGCCCAAGGAAAGGGGAATTCTTGCACCCGACCGAGTAGGATGGATAGGTGCAGTAAGCTAGTCCCTCCTTTCTGGTAGATCAGAGAGGGTAGAAGTCGGCCGGCTGCTGTCCCCACCCCAACCTCCGCCCCGACACACACACACCCCGCCCCCGCCTCGGCTGGGTCCAAAGAGCGCTTGACTCAAAACGGGCCAATGGGTGGACAGAGACAACAGGGCACATAAAACACGAAGTGGACAAAGACCAAAACTATACACACACCCATAGGCTATGATACACAGGTACGTACGAAGACACGAAAAACCGCACAGATGTAAAACACAAAGGCAGACCCAGCTGCATCCAGCCACCGAACCAATCGACCTAAACATGTAGATTAAATTTAGATTCGGACTCGCTAGGACGCAAACCCTCACAGCCTTAGACACACACGCCGGGGGCGGGGCCGGGAAGGGGCGGGGCCTCCTGGGTCGAGGCGAGGTCAAGGGTCAAAAGGCGGAGGCGTGCCCAAGATGGCGGCCTCCATGTGCGACGTGTTCTCCTTCTGCGTGGGCGTGGCGGGCAGGGCCCGGGTCGCAGTGGAAGTCCGCTTCGTTAACAGCTCTAAGGTGAGGCTAAGGCGGACCCGCCGGGAGCCCCCTACCCTGTCCGGCCTTGGAGACAGCCCCACGGGATCCCAGGCCCGAACAGAAACTCCTCTGCAGCTCGGACTCTGCGGCTCGGTCCCTACTCGCGGCCCGGGGGCTCCTTGTCTGTCCCCGCGCGCAGGCTTTCGGGGAGGTCACGCGGTGGACCGGGGGCTCCGAAGTCTCCGTGCGCGCGCCCTCTTCCCGCGGGACCCGGCGCGGCAGCCGGGAGCCCTGCACCCGTTGCTCCAGGCGGGGCCGGGGCGGGGCCAGGGGGAGGGTGGCGCCGGGCTTTTCGGGCTGTGCTGGGGTACTTTGCTGCGGGGCCGCAGGTATGGTGGGCGGGAATGTGCTGTGCAGAGGGAACTGAAGTATAAAAAGGCCTGGGTCCTTAGGGAACTTTCGGAGTGAGATTTGGAAATGGGTTGTGGAGAGAGGTTAGGACCCTTCACGAAAGCCCTCGGAATGGTAAGGAATTTGAAACAGAGCTCGAAGCCCGTGGGAGCATTTGAAGCTTTTAAACAGAGGAGTGACATGATTTTGTCGTTATACTATTTTTGTTTTGTTTTGTTTTCGTTTTTTTGTCGTTATATTATGTTTTAAAAGTTAATTGTAGAAAAATGCTAAAAATGCATGTAAGGAAAGAGAAAGTAAGAATCACTCATAATCCTATACTTATGCAAATATGTGGATATTAAAATTACAATTTTAGAAATCGCTGTTTGATGCAGCAGTAAATCAACGTCAATAAACCTATTTCTAAATATTTTTAAGAGCTGTTTCAGGGGATGGCCACAGCGCATTCAACCAACTGCTTATTTATGGACTTTTATGTTGTATTTTATTTTTCATCCCTGAGGTAAAAGGTCTTGGAGCTCAATTTCTGTGCACACATCCTTTTGTTCTCTCCAGCAGAGTATTTTTTTTCCTAGTTCGCTTTGCCAAATTATATGTGCAAAATGGTATTACTTTGTTTTCATTTACATTTCTTTGTTTACTGAGGAGTTTGAATAATTTATCATGTGTAATGGCTTTGTGTATCCCTGGTCCCCCCACAAGATGTCAGCCTTCTAGTCTGTCATCTGCCCCCTGCTCTCCCCAACCCAAGCTTCCATTGCCTTCTTTCCACTCCAGACACATCTGGAGCATTCCTCTCCTTCCATGATAAAGCAGCTCCCCTTTATCCTTGGCCTCCTCAGCCGCTCACATCTCTATCTGCACACAGGCCTCTGGTGTTCTCGATCTGCTCATAGTTTGATGGTGTCGGGGTTCCATCACTCCTAGCACGCAGAGATAGTCACCTTCCCATGCACTGCACCCCCTATCTGTCAGCCCCTCCTCTCTTCCCTTCTTCCTCTCACTTCATCCCATCAGCCCCTCTACTTGCCCAATTGTCCTGTCCCAGCCTCTGGAAGAACGAGCTGGCCAGCCTCTCCATGCCCACATCTGATCTGAAGCTGGAGAAGATCACATACCCACTTAGACATGGTGACAAGATGGATTGTCCCAGGCTTTTTGCATCTGTATTCATCAAGTGAGACTGGGTCTGTAGGTTTTTTCTTTGTGCTATCTTCCTCAGGTTACCACATCAGAATTATGCTTGTTTTTTGGTAAAATGGAGAAGCCTTCCATTTTTTCTCTGTTACTGAATAGTTTAAATAGCATGAGAATTACTTATTCTTTGGCTTGAGAGAGGTGGCTCATGAACCATATGGACTAGGGGCCTCACATGGTTGTTTGGACTATTTTCTCTATTGCTTCTCTGGATATTGGCAGGAGTGATCTTTCAAAAATTTACCAACCTAACCTCTCATCCTGAGAGGCCACATGACGGGACGATTTACCGCTGTGTCAATCAATCCATCCCTCCCTCCCTCCCCCTCCTTCCTTCCTTCCTTCCTTCCTCTTTCTTTCTTTCTTTCTTTCTTTCTTTCTTTCTTTCTTTCTTTCTTTCTTTCTTTTCTTTCTTTCTTTCTTTCTTTCTTTCTTTCTTTCTTTCTTTCTTTCTTTCTTTCTTTCTTTCTTTCTTTCTTTCTTTCTTTCTTTCTTTTTCTTTCTCTTTCTTTCTTTCTTTCTTTCTCCTTTTGTGACAGTTCAGTGCTGGCAGGGGCAGCACCCCTCTTCTCTAAGTGAACCGTGGGAGTAAGTGCCCCACAGGGCCAGTAACTGCCTGGGTCCTGAAGCTGTCTCCTGTGTCCCTCTGCACCTCTTCATGTCTTATGTGATGTGTACAGTGCTTTAGACCAGAGCTCCTCAGACTTTAATGTGCATGTGAATCACCTGGGCATCTTGTTAAAATGCACATTCTGCTTCAGCAGGTCTGTTTGCGGGGGGTGGGGAAGGGGGGGCTGAGATTCTGCATTTCTAACAGTCTTCCAGATGATGCCCATGCCGCCCATCCATCACGTCATTTTGAGTAGTAAGGAGCTAAAGCTCATAAGGTACATTCACCTGGGCTGAGGTGCATCCTGGAAACTACCTGGTAGGTATTATGATAATATTTTTCATATACAAAAGAGATGCAAAGAAACAATTGGCTCCAAGGTCACAGCAGGTAGTATTAGGGTTGGTGCTAGGATTCGTCATTTCTTTCAGTCATTCCTTTCCCTAACACTGAAAACTGGCTGGGTCCTGTGAGTACCCCACGGACCAGAGAAATACAGCACATTCTCCCCCAAATTAGGCCTCCTTCTTCTGTGGTATAGGAGCCCTCTGCAACCCTGAGCAGCAGCCTCACTGCCAGGATCCTGGAGGGGCACATGGGTGACACCAAGAAGACTGCCCTGTCGTTACCAGCTCCCGGTACAGGAGCCTCGGCGCTCCTGCGGCCATTCCAAAAATTCTGCTCCTCTGGCTGACATGGTGGCTCCCTCCCCATCCCAGTCCCTCTGCTCTGAACAGGCTGAAAGAAGTGTGACTGAAAGTAGGTCAGAGCTGCATTTCCAGAGGAGGCAGTTATGGAGGGTGCTGACTTTGCTCCATGAACCCTCCCAAGGCAGAGGCCTCTCCTGAGATGGAGGCGTGTGGGGGGTGATGCTGGGCAGCCCTCCGGGAACCCTTGGAACTGGGTCCTCTTTCTCTCCTTATGGCCATCCTATTCCTTCTGTCCCCTGGTAGGGAAAAGGGCTGTTTGCCACACAACTGATCCGGAAGGGGGAGACCATCTTTGTAGAACGGCCCCTGGTGGCTGCGCAGTTTCTCTGGAATGCACTTTATCGCTACCGAGGTAAGCACATCTCATCCACTCCTCCGGCTGCTGGGCCCAGCTGCCTTTGTGCATGGAAGACAGTTACATTAGCTGATGTCTCTGGGACTTCAGGTGTTGGGAGAAAAGTTCATCTTCCCTTGGAGAACCGTGCCTGAGAACCATGCTTCTCTCTAGTCTCAGGGCATTTGGGGCTGGGAGTGAGCGGTAGAGGGGCTCTTCCAGCCTGCTCCCTCGGGGGGCTGTCGCTCAGGTGGAACTCAGTCTGAGCCAGAGTATAAGGGCCTGGGTATCATACTGAAGGGCTCTGTGCCGAAGTGCAGCCCTCCACCAAGAGGAGGCCACGTGGGGTCAGAAGCAAGTAGGATGCCCTTAGCTTTTCCAGCCACATGCTTTTTTCACACTTTTCTTAAGGCTAGAGACAAACATGAAAGGAGGGTCATTTGGCTGCAGAATGTGGGGAAAGTGCAGTCTGGGGGCTAGGAGGGAAGCCGCACAGACTAAGTCCCATTGGGAAAGGGGGGAGTGCCTGACAGAAGGGCTGGGACTCCAGAGAGGGAAGAAAACCAGTTTGCCTTGGAATGCATGTGAAATCATTCACTCATTCTGTTCTTTAACACAGTCGTTCATTCACTTACTTCCCAAATGTTTGTTGAGCACCTACTGTGTGCCAGCCACTATTTTTAGCCCTGGGGATACTGCTGTGAACAAGACAAAACATGGCCCCTTCTCTAAAGACACTCACATTGTCCTGTGGGCTCTCTCCCTCAGCCTGTGATCACTGCCTTCGGGCACTGGAGAAGGCAGAGGAGAATGCCCAGAGGCTGACTGGGAAGCCAGGCCAGGTTCTGCCTCACCCTGAGCTGTGTGCCGTGCGCAAGGACCTCCACCAGAACTGTCCCCAGTGTCAGGTGAGCATCCCTGGGGAGTGCACCTGGAAGGGGGCGGGGGGAGGGGTCTTAGCTAAAGTTCTCTGTGAGGAGACGGGAATGACAACAGACCTGCTCATGGCCCCTGTGAGCCATGATGGAGGGGAAGACATTCAGAAGGCTCCATTACTGTTCAGTTGTTTTGTCCTTCCTGTCCCAGTACCACTGTCTAGAAAATAGGTCTGGTGGGAACTTACCCTCTTCCTGGGAGCCTGGCAGGGGCTCTTCCCTCTACCTGAAAGCTCTCTCCATCCCATAGTTTAACAAGGCTGGGTGCCCCTCTCACCTGGTGCACCGTGTGCCTTCTGCTTTCGTGACGCCACTGAGCTACTGCTCGGGCTGCTCAGAGAAGGAACACAGTTAGCGGAGGCGAGCACCACTGAGGGACATCTGCGCCTGCCCCCATGGCCAGATCCTAGGGTGTTGACCTCCACCCACTCCACCAGGTGGTGTACTGCAGTGCAGAATGTCAACTGGCAGCTGCTGAGCAATACCATCAGGTCCTGTGCCCAGGGCCCTCCCAGGACGACCCCCTGCATCCTCTCAATAAGCTGCAGGAGGCCTGGAGGTAGGTAGCATTTCATTTCTTCTTCCCTTTATCTTCCCTCTCTGCCTGCCTGCCTGAGACCAGCAGACGCAGTCATCTTTCTGAAATTGCCATCCTGCAGGTTTTTCCTCCATCTTAGGGTTAAACAGAGGCCACATCACCTTCAATGTGAGCCGCCAGTCCCACCACCCTCAGCATTTTACACACTCCCAGGAAGAGCCCCATTGCGCCCATAGGGATGTAAAGGCCTGCCCACGTCCTTGCCAATGACTTCCTCTCCTTGGTTATGAATGGAGTGGGTTGGAAGGATTTTCTGTAGCAGGCAGACTGGGCTTCCCTGAACGCAGCTACTAGGGAGGGAATTTATAGGCGAAATCTTTTTCTTTCTCCCCAGGAGTGTTCACTACCCCCCTGAGACGGCAAGCATCATGTTGATGGCCCGGATGGTGGCCACGGTGAAGCAGGTGAGCCCACCCGGCCCTCCCAGGGAGGCCGGTTCTGACTTCGTGTGCCCCTTGGCCTCAGTCTCCCCCTCACCTTGAGAGGGAGTATTGCTTGGATGCAGAGCTCCCCCTGGGCTGTGGAAATATCAGTAGCAGCTAACCATAGGTCTGGCAGGAGACTCTGATCTAGGAGAGGGCGTCCTGTGCGGCAGCAGGTCACGCACTCAGCTTCCAGGCGCCACTTTCTCAGGATCGTGCCTCGTGTGTCAAGTGAGAGGAGCCGCTCCAACCCCTTCTATTAACATTGAAGCTCCGCAGCCTCATCCTCCTGTTTCTGCGAGTGGTGTTGAACCGGCTAGCCTGGCCCAGCTGGGGAGATGGTTGGGTGCGGGTGTGGGGGGCGGGGAGGGAGTCTCCAGGCTGAGGAAGGGTCTATCGAGAAGCTCATGTGTGCTGGTATTTTCCTGATGGCAGGGGCTTCAGAATCACGGGCTACCCTCCCACCTGGGCACAAGGGGCGGCAAGGAGGCGGGTGTCCCTGAGTCCACGCGTGCACATGCATGCACACATGGGCATATATGAATGTGACTTTGAAGTATATTTGTTCTGCTCCAGGCCAAGGATAAAGATCGTTGGATCAGGCTCTTCTCCCAGTTCTGTAATAAAACAGCCAATGAGGAGGAGGAAATTGTCCACAAACTCCTGGGGGACAAATTCAAGGTTAGGCTTCTCCTGTGATCCCCCACCCCCAACAGCCTTGGATGTTCTGTGGCTGCCTGACAGGAGCTCCACATTTGGTCCCTTCCCACCACAGGAAGAGGTTAGAGCCTGGGGCCAAAAATCTATTCAGAGGGCCTATGTTCCTGCCACTGTTTAACTTTGTGACCTAATATGGACCAAGAGTCGAGAAGTGGGGTGATGACAGAGGAAGGAGGGGTTGGGTGCCCTGACATGGTAAGGCAGAATCTCATGATAGGATAGCAACGGGCAAGTCAGTTATAATGGAAAACAGAGGGTTGGGGGTCCCCAGGGTGAGGGAGCAGCGTGAAACAGGAGGATTTTAGCTGCCAATGTGCTGAGTACCCGCTCCCACCCAAAGATAACACGTTCTCACTGAAGACAGCAGACTTCCATGCAGAAGCTGCCTGAAGGTACAGGCAGGGTTTTCAGGGCAGCTGGGGTGGGCCTTCCTACATTCATTCTGAGGAGAGGAGGTGGGGAGTCCAGCTGGTCCAGAGGCCAGGTCAGGGAGCCTGGAAGATGGCGGTGAGGACACATTCCAAGCCACATCGCCTCAGCCCTCCTGGTACAAGCGCTGGAAAATAGGGAGCAGGGGCGCCTGGGTGGCTCAGTCCTTAGGCGTCTGCCTTCAGCTCGGGTCGTGATCCCAGGGTCGTGGGGTCACGCCCTGCATCGGGCTCCCTGCTCTGCGGGAAGCCTGCTTCTCCCTCTCCCACTCCCCCTGCTTGTGTTCCCTCTCTCACTGTGTCTCTCTCTGTCAAATAAATAAAATCTAAAAAAAAAAAAAAAATAGGGAGGAATTTGGGGTTCGCCACCCTGGGTTGGAATAATCCACCAGAGTGCTAATGTTCTTTGGAAATAAAGACTCTCTGGGCTTCCTTTGCCTTCAGGGAAAGCTCTTCTACAGAGCTGGCCCTTTTTCCTTCCCTCACCTGGTCTTCTGGGCCCTGCCTGGGTGCTAATGGCAAACCCCCACGTCTCTCCCTGCTTCCCCTAAACTAGGGCCAGCTGGAACTTCTGCGGAGACTCTTCACAGAGGCCCTTTATGAGGAGGCGCTTAGCCAGGTGAGTGTGGGGAAGGTGGGACCAATGGCCTTCTACTCATTCCAGTTCTCCAGGAGCAAGCAGGTCAGCACCTCCTACTTGGAGAACTAAGCCAGAGCTGACTTGATATGAAGTTGGGATGGGACTGACTCATGGAAGACTTCCCGAACGGAGAGTTGTATCAGGAGGAAAAGCGAGTAGTTATAACCTGAGCACTCATTTTTCTTTCTCCCCACAGTGGTTCACACCAGATGGATTCCGGTCTCTCTTTGCTCTTGTTGGGACCAATGGCCAAGGAATTGGGACCAGGTTAGGAGAGAATGTTCCAAAGCTATTGAACTTGTCCCTCAGGGCTGGGGTGGGAGATTGACAGAGGAAGGTAGCACACCTCCTTTCAGGATTAGGATGGGGTAAGGTATGATTCTGTGGCCGGAGAGCTGGACTGGACACAGTGGTGGGAGTCAGAAAGACTGAGGTGGTAGAATTTGCTCTTGGAAGCCCTTGGTCTTTTGGGGAAGATGGGCCCCTTCCCTGGAGAAAGACGTGGGCGTAACTTGCCTGGAGGTGGAGAGCTCTGTGAGCCGGGCCTCCTCCTCTCCACCCATGGATGCCTGGGACCCCCAGCTCCCTGAGCCAGTGGGTCCATGCCTGTGACGCTCTGGAGCTGAAGCCTCAGGACCGAGAGCAGCTGGACGCCTTCATTGACCAGCTGTACAAGGACATCGAGGCAGGTTGGTGAGATGGAGCCTTGGTCTCACCCAACCTCGGATGCCCCCCAGTCAGACACACAGTCTTCCCCTGAGGGAGTTCTGACCTAATGGATGGGGAAGATAATCTCTCTGGACCTATGGGAAGCTTCAGATCTATCCACAGGACATGTAGATAAGCCATGACCCTGAGATCCATACAGAGGCTCGATGCTAGGGGTGGGGGTGCTGGATGAGTAAGGTGATATCATGTACAGAAAAGCTCGTGCCTCCAAGAAGTGAGTTCGGGTGAACTGGTAGTGACCAGGTGGCAAGACAGTAGAGCCAGTGCTACCCTCATAAGCCTAGGTTCCTTTGCCCCCCAATAACATCTGCATATTACTGTCTTACAGCAACTGGCGAGTTTCTTAACTGTGAAGGATCTGGCCTCTTTGTGCTTCAGAGCTGCTGTGAGTCCCGGTATTGAGGAGGGGTGGCCCCTTGTAGGCTGATGGAGAGGAGTCTGGGAGCAGGATTAGGTCTGAGCTTCCTTGGGGATTCTCCTGGGCCTTTTTGTTCCATCATTTTCTCATTCATTCATTCACTGGACTTAATATATGTGTATACCTAAAACCTTCTAGTGGGCCAGGCCCTGTGCTAAGGCAGGACACAGAGTTTTGATTATTGCAAACGGAAGCCTTGGTTTTGCACCACCATTGCCCTGTCAGGTTTGGAAGGGGAGCGTTGTGAGGGCCTGGGAGGGCTAGAAGGCGAGTCTCCTTAGCACCTGACAGGGAGGGGCAGAGCCAGCTCACACCATTGCCTTTTCCAGATCTCAGCCTCTCCCACTCTGGTTTCCTCACTGTAAGCCCCCCTCCCAGGCCATGGGGCCACTCTGCCCCTCCCAAACTGGGCTTGCAGAGGGCCTGGCTCAACTGTGGCAGGACTGAGTTCAGTGGTCAGGCGTGGCCATTCCTTTCACAGCCCCGTCCCTCCCTTTGTGGGATACTGGAAACAATGGAGAATCAAGTTGCCCAGGGCCAAGGACAGCAGGGGCAGGGATGGCAGGTGGGAGGGGGTGGGAAGAGGGAGTGCATTTGTGCCTGTGCTGTGTGGTCTTCAGGAAAGAGCACTGGACGGGGAGTTGGGAAACTTGGGTGCCAGGACCTGCATGGCCTTAGCAGGGGTCAGAGAACAAGGAAGGATGGGAGCCGGTGCTCTGCAAGGCTGTTATTTTTGTTAGTCAACAGTCTTTATGACTTGCCTCTCATGACCCAGGTAACCACAGCTGTGTCCCCAATGCAGAGACCTCCTTCCCAGAAAACAATTTCCTTTTGCATGTCACTGCCTTGGAGGATATCAAGCCAGGAGAGGTGAGGGGGCTAGGAGCTGTGGGGGGTGGGGGGACGGTTGGCCTTGCACGTTTTCCCTCAGTACTGGGAGCAGCAGTGGCTAGAGCCCCAAGTTCTGGCTGTTTGGTTGATCCCCACGTGCCCCAGGGCAGGCATCTTTTTACCCATGATTATGCTCTAGCCCCATCCTACCCCCCAGTTCTTCAAAAAATAACCAGAAAGCCTCAGAGCAGTGATAGAGAGACTATATGCCCAGCTTCTTCTTCCTAGCCACCTTTCAGTAAATCCACAGCTTCTAAGAAAGCAAGAGATGGCTCTTTGTGGCTTGGGCTATGGTGTATGTGTGTGTTTGGGGGCTGTTAGCACAGTGCACAGAGCCTTGGTTGACTCTTCTTCCAGGGCAGGTAGCACCCTGTCAAGATAACCTCTGACCCCAGCCACAGACCTTGGCCATTGACTGCCTGTAACCATGGCCTGAGGCTACCCACAGTCCCCTCTCCGTCTCAGACACAAGTGGTTTGAGCCTCTTGGCGGTGTGCTGAGGGCACAGGGAATGGATGAGGACCTGGCTCCTGGGAGGTGGGGCAGCAGGTGGGGAGACCCTATTCCCATGTAAGGGAGAGCACAGGCCATCAGACCCCACCTCTTCTGTGCCCCCCAGGAAATCTGCATCAGCTACTTAGACTGCTGTCAGCGCGAGCGCAGCCGTCACAGCCGCCACAGGATCCTCAGGTGCCGGCCGGGGCTGCGGTGGGCGGCTGGGCGGCTGGGCTCCCGGAGGCTCCATCCTTGTGGCTGCCTGACTTCGCCCTCCCCACCCTCTCCCGTCCCCTGCAGAGAGAACTATCTGTTTGTCTGTTCCTGCCCCAAATGCCTGGCAGAGGCTGATGAGCCCAATGTGACCTCGGAGGAGGAGGAGGAGGATGAAGAGGAGGAAGGAGAGCCAGAAGATGCAGAGCTGGGGGATGAGATGACCGATGTGTGATGTCACCCTGCCTGGAAGGGGCCCCTGCCCCAGACCCTGCAGGAAAAGGGGGCCTCCCCACAGAGAGGAGGCTCGGAAGGAACTCCCCACTCCCCTTGCCTGCTTTCTCCATACCCCCCCTCCCCCACCCCCCGTTCCAGCTCTGTTTCTGCCAGAGAGTAGGACAGAGGCTGGACCCTAGGCCCTAGGCACTCACCTCCCACCAGACCTCATGCCCTGGACACTGCTGCTGAGTGGCTTAGGCCCTGCGCTGTCCCCGAGCCTCTCAGAACTGCCCCCGCACAACACGCGCGCGTGCACACACACACTCCAGGTGTGAGCAGCTGCAGCCAAGGTCAGGCCCTAAGAGCGTTTCTTCCCCTTGGCCCCATGGCCATGCTTACCTGTCCACCTGAGGCTTCACCCCTTTCAGCCTGCTACAGACGGGATAACAAAAGGGCAATCTGAGGACAGCCTGACCGCACTGAAGTGAAAGGAGGGGGGTGACCTGCCTCCACCTTCTTCCCCGCCTCCCACCGTTGCAGCTGCCTTAGCAGCTGCCTCAGCAGCTGCCTCCTGCTAGCACTGCTGGGAGAGGCAGGAAGGAGCAACCTGGCCTCCAGAGCACCTCCCCTGAGGCTCTGTGCCAGGGACACTGAACCAAGGGGATACTTCCTTCTGCCCACCTCCTCACCCCCACTACTTGGACATCTGGGGGAGCGGAGATTAACCCCTTCCCCAGACTCCGGAATTTCTGTACCTTGTGCCTTGCCTCTCAGGCCCTGGCACAGTGGCTGGCCACATGGGGTGTGAAGAGGCCTCTGCCTCCCTCAGGAGGGGCATGTGGGGGATCATCACCCCTTCCTCAACACTCTTTCCCACCAAGGACTCCAGCAGCTTGGCTGACACTGGGGCATGACAGGCCTGTGCTCCTTGTTTGGATGCTCAAAAGGCTTCCCTGGGACCAGTTTAACATGGGACAGTGAGGGGCTCTCCTGGCCTCAATCTCCATCTTTAGGGTCTCCAGAGAGGAACATTGAAGTCTTCCAGAAACCTAGAGGAGCTGGGCTGGATATTCTGACTTAAGCCCTGACTGTGTCACCCTCACTCCCCCCACCCCGCCCCCGATTAGCACCACCCCTCACTCTTGGGTTGGATGCTATGAGAATTAAAGCCCATCACTTGCAATTTCATCGCCTACCTTCCCTGGGTGGGGGGCGCGCCGCATCCCCCTGCTGAGGGATCTCTGGGAGGGCAGGTGCCCAGCCCATAGGCTGTCTTAGATCATGAGTTGGGTGGCGCCCCACCTGTGCGAGGCCTATCCCGGGTTCTTACTCCTTCACAGCAGTCAGCACCCCCTCCCACCCCTGCCTGCCCACTGTCCTCAATAAAGTGTGAGTGGTGACAGGCCTCTGCAGGAATGCTTTGTGGAGAAGGATTCGACAAGCTGCCTGGGGCCTGCAGTAGTCACGTAGGTGGTGCAGAGGCACGTAGTTTTAGACCAGGTGATGGCAGGAGATGGGAGCTGCAGCTCCTCAGTTTGGGCTCTTCTCTGCACTCTGTGCCTACACTCTGCTGTGCAAATGTTTCTAAATGCCAGGAGCGAGGGTCTTTTGCAGTCTAGTGTGGATCCCCAGGACCAGGCTATCAGAGGAGTCTTCTCAGGGGACTGACCCATGGCTTCCTGAGTTCTTGAGCAGGAAGCAGGCTGTATTGGGATCCAAGATTAGCAGCAGCCCAAACACTGGTCCTAAAGGACCTTGGGTAAGTCATTTACCCTCTGTGGGCCTCAGTTTCCTCCCCCTCAAAATAAGGGCATAGGACCAGATGAGTATGAAGGCCCCTCCCACCCATGTGCTCTTATTGTAGGACACAGTTGCGACCCTGATGAGAGGCTTTATTGCTAAAAAATCAGTGAGGGTTTATTAATTCCTCAAACACCAGCAACTACTGTGAAGTACACTGAGGAGACCCTGGGAAGGGGAAGCTGGAGCAGGTGGGATGTGACAGGTCACAGGTGGCTCTCAGGCCACCTGCCTTTAGCCCCTTTTGTTCCAGACTCTAGCCAAGAAGCTCTGGGGCCTCTTACTCTTCCCATAGCATGAGATGTTTGGGGGCCCTGAGGAAGGGAAGGCCTGTGGTGTGGCTTTTAGCATAGCCAAAGCCTAAGCCTGTTTCCTCTACCCGGCTCCACCTATCCCCAAGTGCTATCCCCAAATCCCAAAGAGCAGAATTCCTGGATTTTCCTTTCCCAGCCCAGAGTTGTTTTAAGGCTGGTATGTGGGACCAACTCTTCTACCAGAAGGTCCAGGGTGGTTGCAGCAGCTCAAAGGTGGGGATGCTGGTGACATTGACTGGGATGGAAATGATGGCCCATGGCAGCCCATGCTGTTCCAGGGAGCGGCGGATCATGTAGCTGGGAGGGCATGAAGAGAGGTAGGTGGTGATGGTCACTTTCTCAGCACCCCATCATGCCCCACTGTCCCCATCACTCTGGGAGTTCTAGAGCCCAAGGACTAGGCCCTCCAGCTGGGGCCCTCCAACTTGTTTGGCCCAAGGACTCTTGGCCCTCCAACTGAGGCTTGTGGGAAGGGACTGGTGATTTCCCTTGACCTCCCCAAGTCATGGCACCCAGCCTGGTGCTGATAGAGCCAGAGACAAGGAGCCCTCACCCATCTCGGCCGAGCAGGAAGAGGGCAGGGATGTCAGCTGTGCGCTGGGTACTGTCCTGGATCATCTCCACATAGAAGCTGTCATTGTCAACTGCATTGTCAGAGATGATCACTGCCCGCCCGCCGTGCTCCTGCACCACTCGGGTCTTGGAGAGGAAGGAGCAGCCCCTGGAAGAGGTGATGATGAGAACAAAGGAAAGGCAAGGTGCTAGCTAGCCCTCCTCCAGACTGTCAACACTGGAAGGATGAAAGAAGGACCAAGGAGAATTTCTGAGAAACGGCCAAAAGGCATGGATCATCTTAAGACGTTTCTTAAAGACCATTAATAACAGCTATTTCAGAGCACCACCACCAACACTGATCTCAGAATCTACCCTACACCTGTCCTCCTCTGGTACCTGTCTCTGTCCGCTCCTTACCCTCTCTCCACCAGAGCGATCTGGTCCTGGATGAAGAAACCGTTGCTGAGCTCCCCACAGGCCTCCGAAGGTTCTGCAGGGACAAGGTGAATCTGCTCATACCTTGTGTGCTGAAAGACATTTAGATAAGTCAGAGTGAGGAGACATGCCAGTTTTAAGACTAGGCGGATAGCCCCATTCTCTTGGTTCCTCACAAAGTGTGAAGGGAACACGGAGTGGTTTCTGTATGCTGGGCACTGAGGTATTTTTTACTGAATTCTCACAAAGGCTTATCTAGTTGTCCCCCTCTACCCTGCCTTTCTATGAGATACGTAGGGGAGCTGCTATGGACCCAGAAAAGGGAAGTAACCTGCCTTAAGTCACATAGTGCAGACAGAGCTAGCCCTTGGTTTCTCACTGTTTCATGACCCCAAAGAAGACAGCTAGTCCCTGTCTGGTGCCCAAGTCTGTATTACACCCAGAAGGGTAGCTAGCTGGAAACCCTTTCTCCTTGCACAGCAGCCCCAGGAGGACAGAGCTGCATTCTGCACCCTTCCCTGTCCCAGCACTCAAGTATTGGTTGAAGGGAGGAGAGGGTCACCTTACTTAGTCGGATGGAGGTAGAGACGGAGACAAGATCAGAGAGAAAAGGGTCTCCCTGAACTTACAAAGATACCACCAAAGTCCTTGGCAGGTGTGGCTGTGAAGATGTATCGAATGTCTCCAGGACTCAGCACTTGGAAGTACAAATAATCATGGATGCGTAAGCCTGAAAGATAAAGAGTACAGGTGAGAAGCCTCCAGGGAACAAGCTGGTTCAAGTTCAAATCATGGACCCCTTGTCTTCAATGGGGCTGGCTATAGTCTGGCCTCAGGGACCTAGCTTCAGCCAAGTGAGTCCTCCAGGTGGGTGAGACAGAGGGTCTCTGCCCTGGGGAGGACAGAGCTGATGCAGAGAGGGTTAGTAACCCCAGAGAGATCAGCTGCAGCTGCTGCTGCACAGGGGGGCCAGGAAGATGACAGCCTTTGTGTTCTCTCTCTCAGGATGAATCCATCTTTGCTCTGAAGTGGACCTGAGAGTTTCAAGGTGGAGCTGTGGTGGCTTGAGTATAAAACGATTCTCACTAGAACTTTAAAAGTTCACTCCGTTCCATTGCCATGCCCCCTATCCAGCCACTATCATTTCTTATCTTCACAGGTCCAGCTTCTTAACTGGTCTATCTGCCTCCATTCTTGCTCTCTACCGTCCATTCCCCCAAACAACAGCCAGGGGGCTTCTTAAAATATCGTAAAGCAAATATGATGAGGTCACCAGGCTCCAGTACCCTTCAACAACTACCCTTTGTGCTAAAAATAAAATCTGAAGTTTTAACTGTGGTCTGCAGGATCCTCTTCCATCTGGCCCTTGGCTGCTACAACAAGCTCATCTACTCCTCCCTGGCCTCCTTTCAGTTTCTTCACTTCTCTGAGTCTTCTTGCAACTGTTCCCTCTACGTGGGAGGCCTCTTCCCCTTACCCCACCCCAGCTCTACCCCTTCACCTGGCTCACTCCTACTCATTGGTTAGACCTAGCTGACATGTCACTTCCTAGAGAAACCTTCTGCCCTGTCACTGCTCTCCCCCTATGCCCCTTCAAAATCAGCTTTTTCTCCATTGACACTTTCAACATAATTTGTAATTATACAGTATGCGTAATTTTTTTTTAACGTCTGTCTCCTCCACTAAGGCAAGAACCACAGTTTTGTAGCTTAGTTTAATGCTGTATCCACATTATGTAACAGAGGCTAGGATATGTGGGTGCTCAATAAAGGTTGTTGAAGGAATGAACAACTATTTTCAGCTCCATTGCACTGAGGAAGAGAATTTTCAGAACAACCAGATTCTTCTGGGGTTTGAGATCTTCTCTTCAGTACCAAAGTTTAATATTTACCTGGATTTGAATCCCTGGTTTCCTCAGCCCAGAGAGATTGAGGAATGTGGAAGTGTGGAAGCTGCTGCCACAGGTCAAGCAGTCAGTCAACAAACTATCAAGCTGCTACTGTGTGTCAGGGTTAGGACTGCCTGTGGCTTTAGCTGTCCTTGTCTCTTGCCCAAACACAGCACCATATAGAGTCCCACTGGCTTGGCACTGGACTCTATAGCCTTTTATCCTGGGAGTGGGGACTTCCCATCAGATACAGATACGTTCCCAAGAAGCCTTCTTTAACACTAAACTCCTCCTCCTTCCCACACACATCTTTGCCTGGCCTTTGCATCTGCTGATCTGTGTAAATCAAGTGTGGGTATACCTATGTGCCCATGTGTGTGTATGGGTGTGTATGTTTATGTGCCCCTTCAGGTGCAAACTGGTTGTGTGTGTACGTGTGTGCCTGTACATGTGAGCCCACGTGTAAGAATGTGTGCTCCTGTATGCGTACGTGAGTGCTCACATACGTATCTCCAGCTTGTAATATCCCTAGCTGTCCCTTGTTCCTTCTGGTCGCCCCTTCAGCCATCTGGGTCGGCGCTACTGGGGGCGTGGAGAGGAGTCTTGCTTCGACGTGGGGAGCTGAGGACTGAGTCCAGCGTCAGGCCGCGCCCTGCTCATGTCGCTGGGGACCAGCAACACACGCAGTCCAGTCGCCTATCCCCAGACCTGCCCTGCCCCGAACTCGCGGGGTCCCCAAGGTGACCCGTGACTCCCGGCCCGACACGAGAGCGAGCTAGAGGGCCAGCCCCGCCCCGCAGCCCCGCCCGTTGCCGCTCACCGTGGGCCGCGACGCACGCGGGGAGCCAGAGCACGAGACAACACCAGCCCGCGGCGCCGGGGACCATCTCCAGGGCCCGGCCCGGCGCCGCGCTTCCTCCAGCCGCCCCACCGCGCTAGCTCGCTGGACTTCAGCCTGACAGCTGCTCCGGCCTCCCCCAGACCCGCTCTTACCGCTGGTTGGTGGACGGGACCGAGGCCCATGGCTGATTGGCTCTGATGCCTGTTCGTGTAGCTACACTTTCCGCCTCTGCGCCTTAGCCCACTTCCTATTGGTCGAGAGAAGTGGGGCCGAGGGCTGATTGGTCTAAGCTCTTAACAGCAACTCCCCCCCCCTCCGCCAGCAACCCAGCCCCAGCGTTTTTTAGTTTGGATTCGATTGCAGGGCCGCGCGGGCTGGCGGGCGGGCCGGGGAGGAAAGCGAACTGGAAGTGGGCACCCCTCTGGACTCGCTTCAGCCGCGGCAAGTCGGGGCCGTCAGCTGATGCAATCTCGGCCGGATCTTCCCTGCGGTCGCCTAGCAAGACGACGATTTGCTTCTCCCAACTGTGCTTTACTCTTCCTCACCACCTCTTTGGGAAGGCGTTCGTCTGGCGCCCAGGTGGTCTCCTGCGACCTCCGCGCCTCTCGTCCTCTGCCCAGTTCCACAGTGCCTGCACGCTCTCTGTCGGTAGGCGCTGGGGACGCGGCTTAGTGATCCCCTCCCTCGAGGAGGCTGTGGCCAGCGCAGACCCAGAAAACGGGCATTGGGGCCAGGTGCCGGGCGCCCACGCCGGCTTCTCTACTACTTAGCGTACAACTGTGACCTTGGACACCTTCGTAACCTCTCAGCCTCAGTTGCTTCATCTATAAAATGGGCATGATAACAGTACCAACTCGATAGGATTGGGAGGGCTTATGAGATCTCTCACCAGGTGCTTATTTAACGTAAGCCTATCCCATCGTCAGCGGTCAATAAATGCTTGTTCATTGTATTCCTTGGTGTGGCGTTCGGGGTGAGGGGGGATGGAATGAGGGTTAGTGGGTAACGCGGGCTCAACAAGGATTCTACATATTCGAAGAGGAAAGCACAACCAAAATACCGCAACCCTTAGGTAACCAACACTTATCGCTAGAGCGCCCTACGACGCCCAGCCTCTGGTCCTTCTAGCCGTGTCGACTTTGTGGTAGCAAGCCATAGAGTGGCGGAAGTGGCTCCTCCCCTTCCTCTCTCGAGCCAACGGCTTGGCGAAGCGTCTGGGGACTTCTGTGGCGCGGGGGATTGTGGGGCTGCTGGGTTGCCCGAACGCGGAGAAGGCAGGAGGAGTGGCGGGCCGCTGAATAAGCTTCCAAGATGATGGTGAGTGTCGTTTCGCCTATCTGTCGCCATCCGCTGCTGTCCGGTCCGTGGGTGGCGCCGCCCGGCCGGGGTCGATCCCATAGGGCCCTCCGCTGCTTATTGACTCTGTCTTTGCCCGGACCCCCTGTCTACGGGCGACCCCGGCCCGCAGCGGCCTGGCTCGGCCCCAGCACGGAACTGGGGCCCTGGGCGAGGGCTTCGTGGGGCCGGAGAGAAGGCTTTGGTCTGGCCGGCTGGGGACTACAAGTCCCAGGCTGCTTCGGGTCCGCGAGCCCGCTTAGGGGACCGGATATTTGGAGCCCCCCACAATCATAACCTGTGTTAAACGAGTGCGACTTAAGCGTGCATGCATACATGGTCAGCGGGTGCGTTGGGAAACGTGGGATGTAAAAACGTGTGTTTCCTAGAACGGGCTGAGGCAGCAGCATGGGGCTCAGCCATGGTTGCTCGCGGGTCCCCCAGCCCGCTTGCTGTTGCGTACTGGAAACAGACTTGGCTTGTACTTTAACACTCACTCGTTCATTCCTTAAGGAATGCCTACTGAATGTCATGTAATGCCAGCTGGTTGTTGGGGGTGCAGCTCCTCAGCCGGGAGAATGGACAGGGCACATGGGGACACTACTTCAGAGGTGGGAAGACCCGGGCTCTGACTCCGACCTTGTCTGCCCTTCCGGATTTGGCAGCAGACCAGGCTTTTCTAGTTGGCCATCTAACTCTGGGTCTCCTTTTCTTGAATTAGGGGTGTTGATGAATCCCGGAGGCCCCCTGTAGCCCTTCTGCATTATCCCTTTCTGCCACCTCAGAGCTGTAGATGCCTTCCGTAGATCCCAAGCCTGCTGCTGTCTCTTGAGTTGCTGTTGAACAGGGCCAGCTTTTAAGGGGGTGTCTGAGGCAAGACCCTGACTAAGATACTGCTCCCAGTGGTGCACTTGGCAGTTCACTCATTCATTTCTGTCTGTCAATCAGAGGAAGTCCTCTGTTCTTTTCTGGTGTTCTGCTGCTGCTTCCTGTCCCAGTAGATGTCAAACTGACACCTATGAGCTGTTCATTCTGTTACCAGATGCCCCGTGAATCCAATGGTACCCACGATAGAAGGAACCTAGAATTTATCTGTACTCTTTCTCCCCTTCACACCTCTAGTACTGCCCTTTATTCAGTCCCTCTTCGGCATTACCTATTCTTGAAGTCGCCTTCATCTTCTGTGTAGAGGCAGCAGAGCCCTTGAGGGTAAGGGCTCTGGAGCACACTGGATGCCTAGGTTTGTAAATAAGCTGGGCCACCTACTAGGTGTGTGACTTTGAGCATGTTATTAAATGTCCTGCCCTCAGTGTATTAAGGGGATTCTTTGAACTAATACATATAAAGCATCCAGTATGTAGTAAGCACTCAGCAAATGTTAGCTGTTCTGCTAGGTGGTGGTGGTTTGCTTCCTTTCTTCCCTGTAATCTGTCATGCTGACAAGGCTACCTAAGAGTTTTGGTTGGTATTCAAAGAACTGAGGATCACAACCAAGGTTCTTCTGTCTGGTGATAAAACCCTTCACCGAGGGGCTCCACCACACTTGGGTTTTTCCTTAACTGACCCCTGCTCTGTTTCCTTGCTGTACAAGTTTTTAGGGAGGATGAAGATGAAGATCATTAAGCTGAAATTCCAGAGCCTTCCATGAAACCCTTGGCAGATTACTGGTTCCACTATTATTTCTTTACTTGAGTAAAAAATGAGTGAGATTGAAAAGTAACTTAGAAAAGAAGCTGGACTTTCCATGGCAATGCATGCCCTTTGGGAGCTAATAGAAGAGGACCCATCCTGCTTGACCGGGCTTGGCTGAGTCCAGCTCTGCCACCTTTCCCTTCTCTTAGGATCCCTCCTCTATTCAGCCTGCCATTTCTATAAGGCCTGCAAAGCACAGGGAACATGGGGACTATGGTCAGCTGCTTCTGAGCCCTACTTTGTACTGAAGAATTCTCTGTGGATTTAGTGTGACCATACTGCGAGTACTTTTCCAAAAATTGGAAGCCAGTGCTATATCATGGCTTATATCAGACACAAGTATATATAAAGTTGAATTTTCAGTATCAAAAGCGTATTGTATATTGCTTCATATATGGCCAAAGCTAGGCACTCCACAAATTGAGACGACTATAATCCTTATCTTTGGGAAGCTCATACTTTAAGATGGCTGGTGGTATAAAAGTTGTACACAAGAGGAAGCAGAGGGAATTATGGGATCCTCTGTTCAGGGTGCCCCTAATAGCTGCTGTTGAAAAACATCTTGGAAGAATTGGGGCTTTGATGAATTGCTCTCCTGGTAAGAAAGTGTTTTGTTTTGTTTTTTACTTTTTTAAAATATCTTCATACACACACACACACACACACACACATTTCATTAAGTAAACTCTGCAGCCAACATAAGACTCAAACTCATGACCTCTAGATCAAGAGACACATGCTCTACCATCTGAGCCAGAGTAGGGGCACTGGAGTGGCTCAGTCATTTGGGCATCTGACTCTTGGTTTCAGCTCAGGTCATGATCTCAGGGTCCTAAGACAGCTCTGTGTCGAGCTGTGGGCTCAGTACTGAGTCTGCTTGTCCTCCCTCTGCTCCCCCCGCCCCTGTGTACGCGTGCGTGCATTCTCTCTCTCTCTTTCTCACGTAAATAAATAAAATCTTAAAAAAAAAAATGGGGCGCCTGGGTGGCTCAGTCAGTTAAGCCTCTGCCTTTGGCTCAGGTCATGATCCCAGGGTCCTGGGATGGGTGCCCTCCCCCCATCGTGGGGATCCCCCCTCAGCGGAGAGTCTGCTTCTCCCTCCGCCCCTCCCTCTGCTCATGCGCGTGCTATCTCCCTCAAATAAATAAAATCTTTAAAGAAAAAAAAAGGAAAGTGCCAGGGTAGCTCTTGGAAATAAGCATATAGTTTGTGGAGGTGGAGGTAAGAACAAGCCTTCACAAGCATTAAGTTACCCTACCGTGGTGGTAGGAGAGGTTGGAGAGGTAGGAGGTTCGAGAGGTCAAAATTTGTTGAAGGCAACAGGAAGAGCTTGAGATCCCAAAGTTCGTTTTTGGTTTGAAGTGTAAGACTATCCATGGCAAGGATAAACCGAAGAAGCTTGGGGGCTGCCATGAGGAATAATTTAGCAGGACTGGGAAAGCGTGGGGCCTTTGGCGGGACACCTTTTTCCTTACAAAGGTGTAGGAGGCCTGAAAGAATGCTGGGAGTATAAAGAAGCCATTTCTTGCTGCCAGACCTGGGACACTTCTGTGAAAGGGAAGGAATTTTCCCTCTGGCCCATGCCTAACCCCAGATTTAGGGGGTTATCTGACGGTATTCTTTTTTTTTTTTTAAAGATTTTATTTATTTGAGAGAGAGAGAATGAGAGATAACACGAGAGGGAAGAGGGTCAGAGGGAGAAGCAGACTCCCTGCCAAGCAGGGAGCCCGATGCGGGACTCGATCCCGGGACTCCAGAATCATGACCTGAGCCGAAGGCAGTTGCTCAACCAACTGAGCCACCCAGGCGCCCTGACAGGTATTCTTAAAAAAAAAAAAAAAAAAAAAAAAAAAAAGTAACGTATATGTTTATTGGGAAAACATTGAAACAAAACAGAAAATACACAGTACAAAGCATCAAAACCCCCTTTACTCCCACTCTCTTATTCATTAGAGTTTGTTGCGCATCTTTCCAGCCCCCTTTTATGCATTTACATATTATATCCTGCCTCCTGCTTTCTCTCTCTTTATATTTTACATAGATAAAGTGTGAATCAGAACATGCCATTCCTCTGCTAAAAGTTTTTCCAGGGCTTCCTTTTGTAGGAATAAAATCCAAACTCCTTACCATGGTGTACAGTTGAGTATGCGATCTGGTTCTTG